GCAAAAGGGGGGGGGGGAATCATGTGACCCCGGGACGCTGCGACAGTCGTACATACGACGCCGTTGCCAAGCATCCCGATTCTGATCACGTGATCGTGGGGACGCTGCAACGGTCGTTAAGTGTGAAAAACGAGTCATGTCGCTTTTTTTCAGTGATGTTGCAACTTCAAACGGTCAACGGTGGGGCGCACCTGTACATAGAATCAGCAATCTAGAAATTATTTTTGTTTGTGAATAGGGAGGAAAAAAACCAAGATTGCAGGCACTGGTTAGTAATAATAATAATAATAATAATAATAATAATAATAATAATAATAATAATGAGGAGAAGGAGGAGGAGGAGGAGGAGGAGGAGGAGGAGGAGGAAGAAGAAGAAGAAGAAGAACCTTAGGTGCAATCCCAAAACAACTGGAGCACCACTTGAACACCATCATCGGCACTGATAAATTCGCCATTAGTCAATTGCAAAAGGCGGCCTTACTAGGAACTGCTTCCATCCTGCGACGAGACCTGTAATACCATCAAACATCCACATCTGCCTATTCCAGGTCCTGGGTAAGGACTCGATAGGTAAGACAAAATGCCAAATCCAGTCTGAACATCTGGCTGACTGTGCGATGATCCACCACCACCACCACCATCATCATCATCATCATAAAGTTGGAGAGGACCTTGAGGTCATCTAGTCCAACCCCCTGCTCAGGCAGGAAACCCTACACCAGTGGTTCTCAACCTTTCTAATGCCGCGACCCCATAATACAGTTCCCCGTGTTGTGGTGACCCCCAACCACTTATACATCACCGGGTGCCAGGGGCGTGGCCAAAGAAAAGGGGAAAAAATGGCGGACAGCCTTGTTTGGCGACCCCCGTGAAATGGTCGTTCGACCCCAAATGGGGTCCCGACCCACAGGCTGAGAACCATTGCCCTACACCATTTCAGACAAATGGCTGTCCAGGCACGCTGGCTGAGGAATTCTGGGAGTTGGAAGTCCACAAGTCATCAAAGGGCCAAGTTGGAAGACCCCGGTTCTGTCTGGTCCAGCGAAGCATCATTCGCCGGTCGAGATTCCATTTGAAAGACGAGTCAGCCAGATTGCATATATGTTCAACTTCCCGTGTTGAAAAACCTGCCTGTCACATACGCAGGGAAGCATGTAGGCGGCCTGTGTCTGCCTGCCTTCCTTTTCCTGCTGACACGCTAATGATCCATTGGTTACTAGGCAGAAGCACCGTGACTCACAGACTACTTAGCCCATCTTTCATAAGCAGCGAAATCTTTTGATTGAGGGGGCTTCTCCAATTGCCTTTTTCAAAGCCTCGTCTCCCGATGCTTATTATTATTTTTTTTTACGAGATGCTTTGAAATCCAGGAGACTGAAATGGTTCTTTAAAATACAGTGTTTTCTTGAGAAACAGGAGGCTGTTCCCGTCCCTGGAGGAGGAGCACTGAAGCGTAGATGAATTAAAATTAAAGAAGAAATAGGGGAGACACAATAGCAGCGTTCCAGTATTTGAGGGGCTGCCACAAAGAAGAGGGGGTCACGTTGTTCTCCAAAGCACCAGAGGACAGGACGAGAAACAATGGTTGGAAACTGATCAAGGACAGAAGCAACCTGGAATTAAGGAGAAACTTCCTGACAGTGGAGACGATTAACCGGCGGAACAGCTTGCCACCAGAAATCGTGGGCGCTCCATCACTGGAGGTTTTTAAGAAGAGACTTGACAGTCCCTTGCCTGAGATGGTACTATAGGTTCTCCTGCTTGAGTAGGGGGCTGGACTAGAAGAGAGTGATGTTTGCGGAGAGAGGGAGGAGGAGGAGGAAGAGGAGAAGAAGAAGAAGAAGAGGAGAAGAAGAAGAAGAAGAAGAAGAAGAAGAAGAAGAAGAAGAAGAAGAAGAAGAAGAAGAAGAAGAAGAAGAAGAAGAAGAAGAAGAAGAAGAAGAAGAAGAAGAAGAAGAAGGGGAGGAGGACGACGAGGAGGAGGACGACGACGACTGTGGAGTCCTTGATGCTCTCTGATCTGGATTGTTTTCTTGCAGATGTTGGATGACCCAACTAAGTAACATTATCAGTGCTAGAAGGGAGTGTGGTGAGGAGGAGGAGAAGGACTATGAGGTCTTTGGTGCTCTCTGAGCTTGGTGATTTTCTTGCAGACATTTCATGACCCAACTAAGTAACATTATCAGTACTAGAAGGGAGTGATGTTTGCAGAGAGAGGGTGGAGGAGAAGGAGGAGAAGGAGGAGGAGGAGGAGGAGGAGGAGGAGGAAAAGGACTGTGGAGTCCTTTGGTTGTTTCCTTGCAGACATTTCATTACCAAACGAGTCCTGACGATGTTCCCTAGTTGGGTCATGAAACGTCTGGAAGAAAACCACCAAGCTCAGAGAGCACCCAGGACCCCAAAGTCATTGTCGTCGTCGTCCTCCTCCTCCTCCCCACTTCCTCCTCCTCCTCCTCCTCCTCCTCCCCACTTCCTCCTCCTCCCCCTCCTCCCCCCTCCTCCTCCTCCTCTCCACAAACCGCACTGCCTAGTAGCACTGAAGCAGTATGCTCTCTTCCCATAGATGGGGTACATCAGGTTGCCTTGATAGACCCATCTCACAACGATGCTAGTTTGGGTAAGGCAACATCTGCCAGAGGACCACCCAGCTCAGAGAGCACCCACGACACATCCAGCCTTCCCATTTACAGCTGTGGTCAGCTTATCTTTGTGGGTTCTGCAAGCGCCGCTGTGTGCTCCTCCCTCTATCTCGCTGCTGTGACAGAAACGCCGGCTGGCAGCCTGTCAACATTACATCACTTCACCTTTAGAGCCGAGAGAGGCTTCTGGAAGACGGCAAGGCTTGTGTTGATCTTTTCTGACAATCCATCATTCCCTCCCTCCGTTTCCCAGGACAACCCGGGCCTAGGATTTGCTGGCCCATCTCGCTGGCAGCGGTGAAAGCCACGGAGGGCCAGGAAATTATTCCCTTTGGAGCAGTGGTTAAGTTAAGTCTTGTGGATTTCAACTCCCAGAATTCCCCTGCCAGCCCAAACAAGGCTTGCTAGAACAGTGGTTCTCAACCTGTGGGTTGGGACCCCATTTGGGGTCGAACGACCATTTCACGGGGGTGGCCAAACAACGCAGTCGGCCATTTTCCCCCCCTTTTCCTTAGCTGTGCTACTCCCTTTTCTTCTATTGGCTTTTGAAAGCCAATAGAAGAGACTCTCTTGAATAGAGTCTAATTCTATTGGCTTTCCAAAGCCAATAGGAATTGCCCAGGCTGTCTCTGCCCTGCTGAGCCCGCCAAAAGTCCCAGTCTGCAAACGGTGCTGCACCAGTTGAGTAGTCCTCGACTTACGACCGGTTGAGTAGTCCTCGACTTACGACCGGTTGGGGGGGGGTCACGGCATTAAAAAGCTTGAGAACCACTGCTTTGGAGCGAGTGGCTGGCAGGAGGAAGCATTTCGCAATCTCTTTATTAGTCAACTGGAAGGGGGGAAAGGGAAGCCCCAATTGGCCCGCTGGCTTCTCTGCATTTTAGAGGAGGTGGGCCCGAAAGCTGCTGTGGGGGGCTTTAGAATTGCCTTGCAGGAGACCAGACCTGAAGGAGGAATGCCGCCGATATGGAAGAGCCTCAAATTTGAAATTGCTCCACAAAGACTCCCAGAATTCCCCAGCCGGCATGCTTTGAGATGTACGGATATCAATTCCCAGAATTCCCCCGCCAGCAGGCTTTAAAACGGGCGGACTTCAACTCCCAGCATTCCCAGCCATCCTGCTTTACGATGGACTTTGACTCCCAGACTTGCCTAGTCATTATCTTTTTTTTTTTTAAAATATATTTTATTAGTTTTATAATTTTAACAAAAAGTGTTTGAAACACACCGTGGTGTTTGGGTAAACACAGATTCCAATATAAAATCACACAATAACAGCTCAATACATTCGTGATAATCTCTCTATTTCCCTCAAGTAACATAATAAATTTAATATATTTCATTTCTATCCTAAATTTCTATTGCTACTAAACCTGTTTATTAAAACTTTATCAATTTCAATTACCATAATCAAATAATGTTTTACATCAACATATTACCCCTTCAAATATCTCTTGCAAATATATTCAAGTTCTTAATCTCTCCCATCCCTTTTTTTATCACCAATCTTATTTATTTCTTTTTCCAATAATAACTAATTTAGTTAAAAAAAGACAATATTATATCATATCAAATCGTATTATTATACACAAACATCTCTTAATTAATTAAACATTACACATATATATAGTTATAATTTTCTTACTTCTAAATCTAGATCGTTTGACTTAATTCATTTCCATTCATTAAACAAACCAAATTCCATCCAAATAATTACCATATCGAAACACATCTAGTCATTATCTTTTACGATGGATGGAATTCAAGTCCCAGAATCCCCCAGCCGGCAGGCTTTAAAAGGGACAGACTTCAACTCCCAGAATCCCCCAGCCAGCATGCTTTACGATGGATGGAATTCAACTCCCAGAATCCCCCAGCCGGCATGCTTTAAAAGGGACAGACTTCAACTCCCAGAATCCCCCAGCCAGCATGCTTTACGATGGATTTTGACTCCCAGACTTGCCTAGTCGTCATCCTTGAAGGAGGACGGACTTCAACTCCCAGAATTCCCCAGCTTGCTTTACGATGGATTTTGACTCCCAGACTTGCCTAGTCGTCATCCTTGAAGGTGGATGGAATTCAACTCCCAGAATCCCCCAGCCGGCATGCTTTAAAAGGGACAGACCTCAACTCCCAGAATCCCTCAGCCAGCATGCCTTCACATGGACGGTCTTCAAATCCCAGAATTCCCCCAGCCAACATGCCTGGCTGGAGAATTCTGGGAGTTGAAGTCCACAGGTCTTAACGTTGCCCAGGTTGAGAGACCCGGCTGTAATGGCGCCATGCTTCCTTTTTGAAGTCTACAAACCAACTTGTGTTAATGCTATTTTTTTAAAAAAGAAAGGGGGGGGTTAAACTTACCCAGGATTGGGGAGTGGGTCATTCCAGAGGCTTGAGGCCTTCCAGGATTCACGGTGGGGGTGACCAGGCCTTCCTCCATAGTTGGAAAGTCTGTTGTGTTGTAGCCTCCGGGGGTATGGCCGAGCCTCCACCCTACGAGGTTGCTGACATCGGTTTCCGCACAAGGACGAAACCACAACTCCGCATCCTGAAGGAGGGAGGAGGAGGAGAAGAGCAAAAAAAAAAAAAACGCAGCCATTTATATATATGCAGGTAGTCCTCCCACTTACGACCGCCATTCAGCCCAACATTTTTCTGGCTGAGGGAGACATTTGTTAAGTGAGTTTTGCCCTGCTTTAGGAACTTTCTGGACACCATTGTTAAGCGAATCGCTGCTGTCGTTAAGTGGGTCAGGCGGTCACAAAGTGAAACCGGCTGCCCCCCATTGGCTTTGCTTGTCAGAAGGTCGCAAAAGGGGATCACGTGACCCCCCCCAGGACACTGGGACCGTCTTAAATGTGAAACGGTTGCCAGGTGTGAATAGAATAGAATAGAATAGAATAGAATAGAATAGAATAGAATAGAATAGAATAGAATAGAATAGAAATAGAATAGAAATAGAATTATTAGAATAGAATGATAGAATAGAATAAAATAGAATAGAATATGGATAGAATAGAATAGAATGATAGAATAGAATAGAACAGAATAGTAGAATAGAATATAGAGTACAATAGAAATAGAATTAATAGAACAGAATATACAATATAATAGAGAATAGAATAATGATAATAGAATAGAATAATGATAATAGAATAGAATAGAATAGAATGATAGAATAGAATAAAATACAATAGAATATGGATAGAATAGAATAGAATAATGATGATAGAATAGAATAAAATAGAATAGAATAGAATATAGAGTAGAGTACAATAGAAATAGAATTAATAGAACAGAATAGAGTACAATATAATAGAGAACAGAGAACAGAGAATAGAATAGAATAGAATAGAAAAGAATAGAATAGAGTTGGAAGGGACTTTAGAGGTCATCTAGTCCAACCCCCTGCTCAAGCAGAAAACCCTATAATCATTTCGGACAAAGGGATGTCCAGTCTCTTCTTAAAAACCTCCAGTGATGGAGCACCCACAACTTCTGGAGGCAACAAGCTGTTCCCCTAGTTCATTGTCCTCCCTGTCAGGAAGTTTCTCCTTAATTCCAGATTGCTTCTCTCTTTGGTCAGTTTCCAACCCTTGAGTTTTGATCCCATGGCCAAGGGGGATGCTGCTATGGTCGTTAAGTGTGAAAAGTGGTCAGAAGTCCCATTTTCCCAGGGCCACTGTAACTTTGAACGGTCACTTGAACGCACGGTTGCAAGCCAAAGGCGACCTGGACATCCACCCTGTCTCTTCTCCCCAGCCCTACCACCGTTTTTTCTGACGCTTTGTGTCGCTGTGTGAATATTCCGACCGAACGCCGGGGGGGGGGGGAAATGGCGCCGGTGGGGTCTCGCGCTCACCTGATCCACCAGGGACCGGCGCCTGATGGCTTCTCCCAGCGAAACCCCACTGGCGTTGGAAACGTGCGTCCCGCTGCTGCTTTGGCTGAGGGGCTCGGCTTTCGATCCGGGGTGCGGGGGCGTCGTCACAATCGGCTGAAACACACAACACCCCTCTGAAAATTAACCACGGAGGGAGAGCTTTCGTGCCTTCCAGGATGTTCGCGGGGGTGTTTGCAGAGTCAAGCCCTCCTCGACGTACACCCGCCCACCCAATTTCCACCGCTAAGCAAAGGCGGCTGCGCCTCGTTCCGCGACCTTCATTTTGCCACCGTCGTTCAGCAGATCACCGCGGTTCTGAAGGGAATCGTGCGGCCGTTGAAGTGAATCTGGCTCCCCCCACCCGCGCTGACTTTGCTTGTCAGAAGCCAGTGGGGACGGTCACAAAAGGGGATCCAGGGAGGGTCTGTCGTCAGCAACTGAGTTTAAACATGCTTAAACACACACGTTGTCTGTCTGTCTGTCTATTTATATATATATATATATATATATATATATATATATATATATATATATATATATATATTGTCTATTTATCTCTATCTGTCTGTCTGTCTATCTATCTATCTACATCTGTCTGTCTATCTATCTATATCTATCTATCTATATCTGTCTGTCTATCTAGTTATCTATCTCTATCTATCAATATTATCATCTATGTCTATTTATGTCTCTATATCTTATCTACCTATCTATCTATCTATCTATCTCTATTTATCTCTGTCTATCTTATCCATCTATATCTGTCTGTCTATGTCTGTCTGCCTATCTATCTATCTATCTATCTATCTATCTATCTATCTATCTATCTATCCATCCATCATCTATCTGTCTGTCTGTCTATCATCTATCTGTATATCTATCTTATCATATCTATCTATGTCTGTCTATCTATATTATCATCTCTATCTATCTATCTATCTATCTATCTATCTTATATCTATTTATCTATCTATCTTATCTATCTTATATCTATCTATCTATATTATCATATCTATCTATATTATCATCTCTATCTATCTTATCATATCTATCTTTGTCTGTCTATCTTCTATCTATCTATCTATCTATCTATCTATCTATCTATCTATCTATCTATCTATCTATCTATCTATCTATCTATCTATCTATCTATCTCTGCAGCGGTGGGATTCAGATAGGTGAAGAACTGGTTCTCTGTGTGGGATGCTGCTTCCGGAAGTCCATTCTGGGCCTGGGCAACAAAAAAATTAGCTATCGGTTGTGCCGAAGTGGTGCGAACCGGCTGAATCCCACCACTGCATGTCTGTCATTGAAAAGGAAAATAAACAAATAACAAATAACGGAAAAGAAAACAAAAATCAACGGACACACAACACAAAGGGCAGGCCCCTAGGTCTTTTTCTGCCGTCGGGTTTTCAAGGTTTCCAAATAAACCACGCGGTCTTTAGGTAAGAGAGCTACCACACGACAACACACAAAGCCAACACAACAAATACGTGGTCATTCTCAGATCGTAAGGTTAGGACACGGTGCTTCTCCCTAATTTCCTCCTTGAAATAGCTCCAAAGAAATCACACACACAAGCAAGAGAATCCGAAGAGTTTACTAATCACAAATGCAGGGGGTGGTTTTTTCCCCCCCCCATAGAATAAAAAAAATCAATTCCCTATTTTTAAAAATAAACACAGGTGACGGCTATGCCGGAAGATTTACAAATGGAAGAGTGTGTGTGTGTGTGTGTGTGTGTAGGCTGTAGAGGAGAGAGATGCCATTTGCTGAAACTCCCACTGGGAGATCCAGGAAGCTATGGACACCAACAGTCGGGAAATGGATTTTGGTAGCCAGCATCCTGGCACGTGTTACTTACTCAAGGTACAATAGGTGCTCTTTCTGAACAGTGGCCCAAATGGCTCAATAGATACACAGGGTTGTGGGCTTGTGCATTTCCAGCTATATTTTATGCATACGGCCGTTCCAAACAAAGTAAGATTTAGATCTACAAAAGGTGAATAAGTCATAAACCCCGAATTTGGCAAAGAAAGAAAGCTAGCATAAGACTGAAGAAAATTGGGGTTTTGTGCGAATTAAAATAGAACATACCCAAATAAATAAGACGTGTACTTTGAAATATTAGACATGGTTATGAGATGAGATGGTTATTTATAACTGAGAAGTATAAATATTAATAGTTAAATTTGAACATTGATTTGCTTATAAAGGTTAAATGTAAAGGTAATTATGATATATATAAGCTAAAAATCTATCGATGAATGTAATAAGTATTTTTTTATCTAGCAGTAATAATAAGAATTATTAGCTTAAAAATGAGATAGTAGATATTAAGAGAAAAAGACAGGAAGTTGAAATAGGAGGAATTTTGGTTATTAAATTTAAGATACATGGAAATTACCAGAAAATAAGAATATTATATTGTATTACTAATTAGTTGATGTAAGATGGTGAGAACTCAAATAGATAAGACGTGTATTCTGAACATTAGATCTCACGATGAATTGTGATAAAGGGAATTGGGGGTTATTTAAAATTTGGAAATTATAAATATCGAACGTGAAATATAAATATTAATGGGAAAACAAAAATTGGGAAAAATTAATCAGGACATTGATTGTCTAAAAAGACTGAATGCTAAAACAACTAGGATATGTATAAACTAAAAATTATTGATAAATGCAAGAAAGTTATTTTTTTATTTAATCGATATAAGAATTGCACTGATTTAAAGATGAGACAGTAAATACTAAGGGGAAAAATTTCATGTAATAGTTTGAGATCTGTACTAAAGATATTGGTATGTTATGGAATTATGGACCGGCTCAGCCGCCACGTTGCTTTTCCAAGACTTAAATGTAAAACTAGAAAACCAATAAAATTTTCTTTAAAAAACAAAAACATCTCTAGTCTCTCTCTACACTTCTACAATATGCTTTCAAATGAACTGATTTTTTCAGAAAAGAGACCCTGATTAAAAATAAATCTGTATTTTTTTTTCTCTCGCAAAGCAACGAGTAGCTGCCTCCAGGCCAAAAACAACCCCAAAGAGACTTCAGCTGTGGCCTGGAGGAACTACTACTACACGCAACTAAGTTGCCCTTTGGTCCATGCCAGGGGGGTCTTAAGATGTTGTGCGAATTCCGCCAGGCGGAGGACGGAAAAACAGAGAAGACGGGAGGATTGTGGAAAGAGGGATTCTTGAAAATTCAGTCAATATCAAACAGTCCTTTCATCTCTGCCTTTTCTGATCGCCTGTCGGATGCCTCTGCATCTTCAGTTCGATACGATAGTGCTCAATTGACGATCGGTTGCGTAGAGGCCAACGTTACAAAAGAGCTCCCTAAAGGCGCTTATTTATTTGCATCACACCTATATTACTTTTACAAATAATTCAAAATGGCAAAGACGCCCAGCACACCTTCCTACCTCCCGTTTCCCCCACGACAACCACCCAGTGAGTTGTCTAAGGTTGCCCAGCTGGATCTCAGGCCTAAGGTGGCACTAGAACTCACCGTCTCCTGGTGACTGGGCCAAAGTCACCCAGCTTTCCTGACCAAGGCAGGACTAGAACTCACCGTCTCCTGGTGATTGGCCCAAAGTCACCCAGCCAGCTTTCCTGACCAAAGCAGGACTAGAACTCACCGTCTCCTGATGATTGGCCCAAAGTCACCCAGCCAGCTTTCCTGACCAAGGCAGGACTAGAACTCACCAACTCCTGGTGATTGGCCCAAAGTCACCCAGTTGGCTTTCATGCCTAAGGCGGGACTAGAATTCACCGTCTCCTGGTGATTGGCCCAAAGTCACCCAGCTGGCTTTCCTGACTAAGGCAGAACTAGAACTCACCAACTCCTGGTGATTGGCCCAAAGTCACCCAGTTGGCTTTCATGCCTAAGGCGGGACTAGAATTCACCGTCTCCTGGTGATTGGCCCAAAGTCACCCAGCTAACTTTTCTGCTAAGGCAGGACTAGAACTCACCGTCTCCTGGTGACTGGCCCAAAGTCACCCAGACAGCTTTCCTGACTAACGCAGAACTAGAACTCACCGTCTCCTGGTGATCGGCCCAAAGTCACCCAGCTAACTTTCCTGCTAAGGCAGGACTAGAACTCACGGTCTCCTGGTGACTGATTGAAAATTACCCAGCCAGCTTTCCTGACTAAGGCAGAACTAGAACTTATTGACACCCAGTTTCTAATCCGGTACCAAACTGGCTCTCACTTATGACCCCATTTCTAACTTCTGACAGTGCCACCTTAATCACAAATATCTCACTTAGCCACAGAAATTTTAGACTCAGTTGTGGCACTTAGCGGAAGAGTATCCGCAGTTGGAAAGTAACCACAATATTTCACGTGAAGTCTTAATACCACTTTACAAGGCCTTGGTAAGGCCACACTTGGAATCCTGCATCCAGTTTTGGTCACCACGATGTAAAAAAGACGCTGAGACTCTGGAAAGAGTGCAGAGAAGAGCAACAAAGATGATTAGGGAACTGGAGACTAAAACATATAAGGAACGGCTGCTGGAATTGGATGTGTCTAGTTTAATGAAAAGAAGGACGAGGGGGGACATGATAGTAGCGTTCCAGTATCTCAGGGGCTGCCCCAAAGAAGAGGGAGTCAAGCTATTCTCCAAAGCGCCTGAAGGCCGGACAAGAAGAAACAGATGGAAACTCATCAAGGAGAGAAGCAACCTGGAACTAAGGAGAAACTTCCTGACAGTTAGAACAATTAACCCGTGGAACAATCTGCCTCCAGAAACTGTGAATGCTCCAACACTGGAAGTTTTTAAGAAGAGACTGGACAGCCATTTGTCTGAAATGGTATAGGGTTTCCTGCCTGAGCAGGGGATTGGACTAGATGACCTCCAAGGTCCCTTCTAACATTATTATTATTATTACTACTACTATTATTATTACTATTACTTTGAATTCATTAGAGCGTGAAGTGGAATTTCCTACCCTTGAAGACTGGTCGTGTGTGATAAACATCCATTAATGCTTAATAAAGAAAAAATAAAAAGCTACTGTGAATATTGACAGCTGAAGACAACAATTTACGCCCCATGCATAACTCTATCTAATGGCATCTGAAAAGTATATATGTAAATTAGGGTGCATTGTGAACGCTGCTTCCAATAAGCACAAAGCAAAGGCAAAGCAAGAGAGATTGGCACTTTGATCGAGTCATTTGGAAAACAACACCCAGCTGCACTTGAACAAATGCACAATATCTGTCTCATTATCACAAGACGCAGAAGGCGGCTTCGTAAACGTAAAGGAGCAAATAGATCAGGACCCGCGGAAGCTGATAGCAGCATTTTATTCCAACTTTGGGGGGGGGTTTGTTTAGACCAGAAGGTAACTTTCTGACACACACGTCCATCACAGTCTCCTGATGAAGACGTTCCCCCTCCAAATCCTCCAGGGAGCACCGGCAGAACAGATGCGGCAACAACCTTCAGTGTCACAACTGTACGGAAAGATCCTTTGTTGAGCAAACTGAACAAACTCCCATGGAGTATTGGCAGTCTAGGAGACTTCAAAGAGGGCAGAGATCAGGGGGCTGGAGGCTTAAAACATACGAAGAATGGCGCTGCAAGTCAATCCCAAGAGTTAAGATTTCTCCTTGGAAAGTTAGCCAACTTCCTCCAGTTCATTCGGAAAAGGCATTCTAGCTCGCCATATTATTTTATTTTTCCCTCTTGTTCTTTTTATTTTTGTATAGGGTGTTTTTTTTTTAAATCGATATAAGCCGCCTTGAGTACCCGCCTTGAGTGCGAGGAGGCGGCAATACAAGTTTCCTAAATAAATAGAGATAGATAGATAGATAGACAGATAGATAGATAGGAGAGAGAAGATAAATAGATAGATAGAGAAGAGATATAGATGATAGATGATAGATAGATGAGAGAAGAGATAATATAGATAGATAGATAGAGAAGAGATAGATGATAGATAGATAGATGAGAGAGAGAAGAGATAGATGATAGATAGATATAGATAGATACTGTAGATAGATAGATAGATAAGAGAGAAGAGATAGATGACAGACAGACAGATAGATAGATGAGAGAAGAGATAGATAGATAGATAGATAGATAGATAAAGATAGTTAGATGATAGATGAGATAGATAGATAGATGAGACAGAGAAGAGATAGATGATAGATAGATATAGATAGATACTGTAGATAGATAGATAGATAGATAGATAGATAGATAGATAGATAGATAGATAGATATCGCAAACTCTGCACCAAAACGAATTTCAGCCTTCCCCAGCCTGTTGCCCCCACCCCACCCCAAGCAAGGGGATGATGGGCAACCTCAGCCAGGAGGCAGGGGACGATGGGCTTTGAAGTCCAATATTTGAAGACCAATATCCTGTTGTGGGGAGGGGGAGTATTGCACAAAAGGGTAGGGGAGATCCTGCACTAATTTGAGGGGTGGGGGCTTCTTCCAGAGAAGGGGGGGAAGAGTCAAATGGGGGGGGATTTAAATTGTTTCCAACGTCAAAGCGTCTTTGCAAAGGGGGGGGGAAGCGCTTGAGTGGCAAAGGGAGGCTAAGGGAAAATGTGGGGAGGGGGCTGGAGACCAAAGACCCCTCCCCAAGAGCCCTCCCAGGCCCCCTCCCCACCTGCCCCCCCTCCTACTCACAGGCACCTGGCTGCTCCCCTGAGGAGGCGCTTCCATGGCTGCAGGGAGCCGGGGGGGGGGGAACAAGGCGGCCGGGGGGGCGGCAGGACGAGGAAGCCCCCAAACCCCGCGCGCCCCACGCTCCGCTTCCCGGGGAATCGATGCGCGCATGCGCCCCGCTTGTACCCGCTCCCTGGTTGTTAGGGACTCGCTCTAAGGGGAAGAGGCGGGGCTCAGCGCGGCTCCTCCCACCTCGCGGCGCCCGCGCCCTCCGGCCGTTGGGAACGGGGGAGGAGCCAAGGCGAGGCGCCTCTTGAGGGACCAATCGGCTCAAGCCAAGGGGCGCCCCCTTCCCCCCCCTCCGGTTTTCATTGGGCAAGCGCTTTGATGGGGAGGGGATCTAGGCGCGCGGACGGGGGGGGGGGAAATCATTTGTCTGAGTGAGTAGGCGGTGCTTCTCGTTTCCCGCCCCGCCTTCGCTCATCCCCGCGGAGGGAGGGAAAGGAGAGAGGCGGAAGTGTTGAAAGACCCGGATGGAAGCCGTTCTTTCTGCCTTTCCCTCCTCTCTCCCCCCCCCCCGCCGGTTAGGAATGACTGCGCCTAACTTTGGAGGTTCCATTGAGGCCTTTTGTTTTCTCTCTTGTTTGTTTTATGTAGCTGATGGGATCTACAGAAGTCATGCGATCGCAGATATAGAAATATAAGTGTAAAGAAAGCATCAGCACAGAAAGAGAGAGAAAGAAAAAGATAGATAGATAGATAGATAGACAGATAGATAGATAGATAGATGAGAGAAGAGAGAGAGAGAAGAAATAGATATAGATAGACAGACAGATGAGAGAGAGAAGATAGATAGATAGATAGACAGATAGACACACAGATGAGAGAAGAAATAGATAGACACAGATGAGAGACAGAAGAGAGAGAGAGACACACACAGAGATGAGAGAGAAGCGATAGATAGATAGACAGACAGACAGACAGATGAGCGAGGAAATATAGATAGATAGATAGATACACAGAGAAGAGATAGATGAGAGGAGAGATAGATAGATAGATAGATAGATAGATAGATAGATAGATAGATACACAGATGAGAGAGAAGAGAGAGAGATAGATGAGAGAAGAGAGATAAATAGATGAGAGAGAGAAGAGATAGATATGTGATATATATTGATAGATAGATGAGAGAGAGAAGAAATAGATATAGATAGACACACAGATGAGAGAGAAGAGATAGACAGATGAGAGACAGAAGAGATAGATAGATAGATAGATGAGAGAGAGTAGAGAGATAGATGAGAGAAGAGAGAGAGATGAGAGAGAAGCGATAGATAGATAGACAGACAGACACAGATGAGAGAGGAGATATAGATAGATGAGAGGAGAGATAGATAGATAGATAGATAGATAGATAGATAGATAGATAGATAGATAGATAGATAGATAGATAGATGAGAGAGAGAAGAGATAGATATGTGATAGATTGATAGATAGTGTTATGTCCTGAGCCTGTGAAGGCAGGCTTGGGGCATTGCAACGGTCCCGGGCAGGTGCAAGCTGCCTGGGACCAGACAGGCTGTCGCCAGCACTCGTGCGCATGCGCGAGTGCAAGCGCGCCAAATGTTGCAGTTTGGCCCGGGGATCGCCTTTAAAAGGAGCAGAGGGACTTGGGCATTGTCGGCGTCTTGTAACCAGTATGATGTACACTAATAAAGAGGCTCCTGAGAACTGCAACTGCTTCATGCGTTATTTGCCATTTCGCTGAGGACTTAACAGATAAATAGATAGATAGATAGATAGATAGATAGATAGATAGATAGATAGATAGATAGATATAGATAGATAGACAGACAGATAGCGAATTTGTCAATGCCAATGGTGTTCAAGTGGCGCTCCAGTTGTTTTGGGATTGTACCCAAGGCGCCTATGACTATTGGTCCTACCCTTGCTTGCCTTTGCCACAGTTTTTCTATTTCTATTTGTAGGTCTTTGTATTTTGTTATCTTCTCCAGTTCTTTCTCTTCTATTCTGCTATCTCCAGGCAATGCCACGTCCACTATCCAGACTTTTTTGTCTTTCTTATCGACAATTGTTAAGTCTGGGGTGTTATGTTGCAGGTGCTTGTCTGTTTGAATTCTGAAATCCCAGAGCAGTTTAACTTTATCGTTTTCTATGACTTTCTCTATTTTATGATCCCACCAGTTCTCACTTGCAGGCAAATGATATTTCTTTCAGATCTTCCAATGCACCATTGTTGCTACTTTGTCGTGCCCCTGCTGGTAGTCAGTCTGTGCGATCTTCTAGCAGCAGAGCAGAGACTGGACAGCCATTTATCCAGTATAGGGTTTCCTGCCTGAGCAGGGGGTTGGACTAGATGGCCTCCAAGGTCCCTTCCAGTTTTTATTATTATTATCATCATCATCATTATCATTATTGAGTGTTAGATTTTCCTCCTCTTTAGCAAACCGTTGCTGATTTTTTTTAAAAAATGTGTTTTTTCAGAAAAAAGGAGGAAAAAAAACAGCCTATTTCGTAACAGGAGCAGAACAGATGAGTTGAAGAAATTAATTGCATGACTAAGACAGTCATAAACCATTTCTCTTGGTTGATCTCCAGGAAAACAAATCTGTACAACCGCAAAATATGAAGTTGGTCATAGAACGGGGGTGGAGGGGTGGGGGAAGACCCTGATTGCACCCTAAGATTAGCTGGGACCTAATATTGCTAAGATGAGGCTTTTGACTTCTCATCGGGTGGTGGTTGTTTGCTTTTTTAAACGGGGAGGTGGGCGTTCCTGGGCACGAAGCCGTGGAAGCGTTTAAGGAACGTTGAATGCCTCTGTTGTCCCCTGACATAAGTAGTCCACAATTTATAATAATAAACTGTGCAATGTGGTCTTAAAAGGGTCCTTTGCAAAGTTTTGCAAAGGTTTTGCGAAGAACGGGGATCCCCGTTTCTCCCAGTCTGCTCCCCCAGAGCACAGTGGCTCCTTTGCCCTCCTTGCCAGCTGGATTTCTCTTTATTTTTATGCCAAGCCCACACGAGGAAAGGGCAACCTGTTGGAAGCTGCCAAGCTGATTTTATAACCACCAAGTCACTGAATCGGATTGAATCTCTGTGTGATATTTTCCCCGTTTCTCCAGCAATGCCGTCACATGGGAAGATTTAAAATAGTCCGTTGCCAACACACTGCCACAAGCAAATAGGGATTGCATAACAGGCAAGTGTGTGTATGTGTGTGTGTATATATATATATATATATATATATATATATATATATATATATATATATAATATATATTCTGTTTTCTGAGGAAGAAACAGCTAAGACCACACATTGCTGCTCGAAGCACGAAGCTGAAAACACCAGCCTGAAGATGACAAATGGGACTTCGTCGAAACGTTGCCAAGACACTTCCAATTTTACGCAGGAGAAAACCCAAACAACCAAAGACATATATATATATATATATATATATATATATATATATATATATATATATATATATATAATCAATTACCAATAAAGGGTGAACACCAGGAATATAATAAACTATAAAAGTTTAATACCATCACCGATCACCAAGCTTTTGTCAGATACTTCTGACATCGTCAGGGTTAATGCTGGTCTGTGGGAGAGTGCCTTTATAGGTGAGCCGTCATTTGCACACGGCTCTTAGATCTGGTCGTAGGTCCTAATTGATTTAACTGCTTTTTAATTATGGCTTCCATACATATATATATATATATATATATATATATATATATATATATATATATATATATATATATATAAAATTTGGATTGCTAGCAAAGAATTAAGGGAGAACTGGAATAGCTATTTCGAACTCTTTAGTTCTTTTCAACCAGACATACCCTTCTGAGATTCGAACCTGGGCTGTCTCTCTCCCATATTTGGGTCAACAGGGTGTAACATACAGCATTATATATATATATATATATATATATATATATATATATATATATATATATATATATATATATATATCCGACTCTTGGGTATATCCATGTTACAAAAAACAAATAAATAGTGACCACCAAGAGAATAAATAGAAAATATTTAATAACCAAACCTAGCTTTCGTCGGGTGCTCCCGACATCGTCAGGGTTACGATCACCAAGGGTGAGGAAGATTGATCGTAACTTGGTTGAGACATACGAAGGGGCTGGAGGAAGACTGAATGATTTGCAACCCCCCCCCCATCTAATAAAGAGACTTACACTGATGGGGGTGGGGGAAAGGAAAGGGTTACTGCTAGAAAGAGAAGGGAAAGGATCCTGTCCAGCCCCAGGGTCAATGATAGAAGTAAGGTGGAGTAGGAGAGGTGATAAGAAAGAACCACGTGCTGACATGAGAGATGCACTCGGAACTCAGCACGGCCAGCTGGGGCCGGTTACACGATCTAAAAGCCGGATGCAGGCAATTAGGGATTGCATATAAGGTTTTTCCCAATGACTGCTTTTTTAAACCCTGACGATGTCGGGAGTACCCAATGAAAGCTAGCTTTGGTTATTAAATATTTTCTATTTATTCTCTTTGTGGTCAATATATATATATATATATATATATATATATATATATATATATATATGAATAAAAGAAATAAAACACGATCACCGGGAGGGTTAAAGTAAGAATACTTTACTAAAAATATACTATACTTATACTAAAAAGTTGCCAAGCTTTCGCTGGGGGAAACTCCCCAACATCGTCAGGGCTAAAAGACCATTTCAATAAAGGTGGTTTAAGTAGGTTCAAGTAACGTCTACGCACGGCTCTTAGCCCTGACGATGTTGGGGAGTTTCCCCCAGTGAAAGCTTGGCAACTTTTTAGTATAAGTATAGTATATTTTTAGTAAAGTATTCTTACTTTAACCCTCCCGGCGATCGTGTTTTATTTCTTTTATTCATAATTATGCCCGGGAGTCGCATTTTTACCAATATTCTTGAATGTATATATGTATGTATGTATGTATTTATGTATGTATTAGCCTCGCTTTGCTCATTGGGATCGCTTTCTGGAAGGTACCAGAAACACACACACACACACACACATACACACCTGCTCCAGGCTGGACAATCAACTGATAGTCCAATAGAATAGAATAGAATTAAGAATGGGATAGAATAG